TAATGCCTCAAGCAAAATATCAGGATGTAACAATTTAAGTGTGATGTTTTAATACGGAGATAAATAGGAAAACAGGTGAAGGTCGGTGCTTCTGCAGAATAGACCATCCAGTAGGAAGAAAGAAGGGACTAAGAGACTGAAGATTTTTTCAAATGTCTTGGCCATTTAACTCCTTAAATTGTATGTATAATGTAGATAAAAATAAATGCTAATTTTTAAAAAAGGAAAGAAAAACTTTTGCTGTCTCTCTCAGAAATTTCACATAGCTATTTCTAATTAAATGCCAGAGAACACTATACTATTTTTCTTCCTTTGGTTGGGACCCAGAGCTCTTGCTATGACACAGTATAAACTCTAAGCCTGATCTAAATCAGCATTTTGCCTCGGAGTAGAAAGAGGTCTTTTTACATTCCCCAAATAGAAAGACTCAGTAAATCCACATCTGGAGCCATCTGGAGTACCCTCTGCACTGAGAGGTTCGTTTTTGCTTTTTTACCCTCTTGACAGCAACATTACAGGCTCCCTCCCTTCCCTCTCCACTTAACACTCTTATATCTATTTAGGCGACAGCTGGACTTCTACGTCTTGTCTCCCTGTAAGGTTTTGAGTAGTTAAGAGTATAATGCTTTCTGTATATCAAATAAAATGTTGTACGCATGAAAAACATGTAATTCCACTTCCTATGAAATTAGGAAAGGGGCATTGAGAGAAATATCTGTTTTTAATATAATAGTAATGATTGAATAAGGGCTTCTGAGAACCCTTAAACCATCCAGGGTGCTTCAGAAGCAGGCTGGAATGGGGGCAGCCCTGAGCAGTAAATGATTTTGGCACCACTACATGGACTGTCTGATCTGCTGTTAGGTTCTCAGATCATGGACAAAAGATCTATTCTTAATGTATTGATTTGGTGTAATTATTGTTTTAAGCTCAAGATTAAATTAATTTTCTGAAAGCCATCCTAAGAAAGGCACCTCTACCCGTTGCCTATGACCCCTAGTTCATTATAGACAAAAAAAAAAAAAAAAAAAGCTGAAGGCAGGACTGCTATATGGGTTTTCTGAGTTAGCGTCAGAGTCACTGGAAATAAGAATCTTGGGAGGATGGTTCTGAGCACATGGGGTGTCATTATTGGCATGAGGAGACAGGAGCTTTGACCTCTTTGTTTATGAGGTCACTTATAAGCCTAGGAGAACTAGTGTCTGCATTATTCAGGCTTTTGACTACTAATGCTTTTTATCTGGCTCCTTTTGTTTAACATTTCAGAATATTACAAGGGTACAAATGTTTTGGTTACATGAATTGATTTTGCACAATTTGAGTCAAGGTTAAGTGTGCCTATCACTTAGATAGCATGCATTGTACCCAGTGAATATACCTGTTCTCTCTGCCCTAGTCCCACCTGCTTAGTTTCGTTGACCTTCACTACCATATGTATACCTTTTTTTTTGAGACAGAGCCTCAAGCTGACCCCTGGGTAGAGTGCTGTGGCATCACATCTCACAGCAACCTCCAACCCCAACCCCTGAGCTCAAGCAAGTCTCCTGCCTCAGCCTCCCAAGTAGCTGGGACCACAGGCGCCCGCCACAATGCCTGGCTATTTTTTGGTTGCAGCCGTTATTGTTGTTTGGTGGGCCCAGGCTGAATTTGAACCCGCCACCTTAGGTGTATGTGGCTGGTGCCGTAGCCACTTGAGCCATAGGCACTGAGCCATATGTATACCTTTTGTTTAGATTTACAACACTCCCCATGCCCTTCCCAGAGCTGGTTGTACCCTTTCTGTTCCTTGTTTACAATTGTCTTCAGGTGGATTTGCATCCTCATACCTTCCCTTACCTCTAGAGCCATACATTTCTTAGTTTTTTTTTCCTCCCATACTGACAGCTAAACCTGAATAAGATTATGTGAAAGAAGTGATTATGGTATATCCATACAACAGGATAGTATTTGGCAATAAAAAGGAGTTATTGATACATACAACAACTTAGATGACTCTCAAGGGTGTGTTGCTAAGTGAAAAAAAGACAATCTTAAAAGATCACATACTATATGATTTCATTTCAGTTACATTCTTAAAATGACATAATAAAAAAGACTCGTGGTTGCCGGGGAAGTGTGATCATAAAGAGGTAGCATAATGAGACAATCTGTGTGACGATGGAAGAGTTCTGTATTTTGAATATAATGCTGGTTTTGTGAATCTACACATGAATAAACAGCCCAGAACTATGCAGATACTTTATAGCAATGTCAATCTTCTGGTTCTGTAACATGTAATCAATGGAAGAAACTGGATGAGTGAAGAGTATACAGAATCTTGGGTGGTGCTGCGGCTCAAAGGAGTAGGGCACCAGCCCCATACCAGAGGTAGTGGGTTCAAACCTTGCTCCACCCAAAAAATGCCACAAGAAAAGGGTATACAGAATCTCTACTATCTCTGCAACTTCTTGAGACTTTCTAATTATTTCAAGATAAAATGTTTGCTTTTCTTACTTAAAAAGGGAATAAACTATTGATACACATAAAACATGGGTGAATCTCAAAATAATTATGTTAAATGAAAGACACCAGTCAAAAGAGTACAAAAGAAAATAAGAATGATATCAAAGCTAAAAACTTGTGTGCTGCAACTGATACCATCAAGAATGTAAAAAGACAACCAGGACATAAAAGGGAATATTTGTAAATCTTATATCTGCTAAGGGATTTGTATCTAGAACATATGAAGGACAAACATATAAAGACAAACAACCCAACTGAAAAAATGGACAAAGATATGAATAGCCATTTCTCCAAAGAAGATATATAAATGACTGATAAGCACAGGAAAAGGTACTTTAACATCATTAGCTATTGTAGAAATGCAAACCACAATGAGATGGCAATTCATACCCACTAGGATGGTGATACCCAAAATGATAGTAGCAAGTGTTGGTAAGGCTGTGGAGCCCTGGGAAAGCTCATTACTTTTAGTTGCAAATAACATGGTATAGCTACTTTGGAAAACAGTTTGGCAGTTTACCAAATACATTAAACATAATTACTATATGATCCAGTAATTTTACTCCTAGGTATATACCCCAAAGAATCAAAAGTATGTTCCCACAAAAACTTGTACATGAATGTATGTAGTAGCATTATTCATAATAGCCAAAAAAAGCAGAAACAACTCAAATGCTAATGAATGGATAAATGAAATGTGGAATATCCACACAGTGGTGTATTATTCAACAATAAAAGGAATAAAATACTGATAGGTGTTCATGTAGATGAACCTTGAAAACATTATGTGCCCACAGCCTTGAGTGGTCATGTCCCACTTGGCTGTCTCTGCTGATACCTAGTTTTTTCTTTTCTTGCCTGTCCTTGGGTCTAAGGCAGGAAACTAGGGTCTCCAGCCCTATTCCCTCCTGAGTTTGGCCAAGTGGATTGGATGTTGTGTATTGTTTTTTTATTTTGTTTTGGAATTAAAAGTATGCAGAATAAAGAAGATACAGTTTTATACAAAAAAAAATAACATTATGTGAAAGAAGCAATCACAGAAGGCCTCATAGTATGTGATTTTGATTTATATTCATGTCTATTGGAACAAAGTAGATTAGCAGTTGCCTAGGTCTAGGAGGTTGGGGGGAATAGAGAATGACTGGTAATGGATATAGGGTTTCTTTTGGAGGTATGAAAATATTCTAAACTTAGATCGTGGTGATGGTTACACAACTCTGTAAAACACACGCATGAGGTCAGGCAATAACTTCACAAACTCATCTTAGAAAAAGTGCTACATATCTCATTGCTGGATATCACTGGGGTCACTTTGAATTGCTCCCCTTAGCCATCAGGTGACCATAGTGATTCCCTCAAGGTGACAGATGGATGGGAAAGGTGTTGGGAAGGCTTCCTGGAAAGGGTAGCTCTGGAGTCCCACATTCAGGAGCAAATGAGATTTGGAGAAAGAATGTGGGGTTTTGTGATGACCTATAGTCTTCATGATGCTCATGTTAAAGGAGCATAGTATATACTTGGTACATCTCCAAGGAGACCTAATTTTATTCTCCTCATATCAAAGCCATGTATTCCCCCCACCCTGGGAGCCATCATAGTGAAGCAGATTGTTATATTAACAATTCAATGCAAAACAAGGATATGACATCCTTCATTGCCCTCTCCAGACTTGCCAGTATTTGTGATTATGTATTCAGGGTCTGTCCTTCCTGCCCCATTTTTGTTTGTTTGTTTGTTTTGAGATAGTCTCACTTGCTCACCCTCGGTAGACTGCCATAGTGTCATAGCTTACAGCATTCTCCGACTCTCTGACTCAAGCAATTCTCTTGTTTCAGCCTCCCAAGTAGCTGGGACTACAAGTGCCCGCTACAACACCCGACTATTTTTAGAGATGAGGTCTCATTCTGACTCAGGCTGGCCTTGAACCTGTTAGCTCAGGCAGTCCATCTACCTCAGCTTCCCAGAGTGCTAGGATTATAGGCATGAGCCACCATGCCTGGCTGCCCCATAGTTTACTCTGTGAGATCTGGATCTGAGTGTCTTATTCACCGTCCTGTCCCCAGCAGAGGACATAGCAGAGCTTGATAAAGATATTTGCTGAAAGGTTTGTAATGGAGCACATTAGGCACATATGTGACTGGTACCTCAGGAATGGCTTAGACATTTGTGACAAATATAAAATGAAGCAGTGCAGTTATACTCCTGCCTGCCAAACACAACTGCTGTGTGTCCTAGCTGAGGCCCCAGCTGTGCCCCAGCTCCATCCAACCTGGCCCTACATCCTGCTCATTTGTCCTAGTGGCCTGATGTTAGGACACTATTGGCTTCCCCTCCCCAAAGGCTCTAAACATAAGGATCTCCTGAGAAGAGTCAGGACATTTTGTACTAGGGAGGGGCGTCTCTGGCCATTGGCCTGCTCTGGACAAGTTGGACATTCTAGGACCCTGGATCAGGGAACACTCATGTGCTGTTTCTTCTGCTCCTCCTCCACACTCTAGCACTTCTCTATGCTACCATCTTCGGGAATGTGACGACCATTTTCCAGCAGATGTACGCCAACACCAACAGGTACCATGAGATGCTCAACAGCGTTCGAGACTTCCTGAAACTCTATCAGGTGCCGAAAGGATTGAGTGAGCGAGTCATGGATTATATAGTGTCCACCTGGTCCATGTCCAGAGGCATCGACACAGAGAAGGTAAGGAGGGCAAGGAGCGCAGGTAAACCCCTTGTCTTTTGCCTTTCCCTATGGGGCCCGAGACTCTTCTAGGACAGTGTTGCTCAAAGCTGCCTATGCTCAGAATTCACCACTGGGGGGGCTGAATTCCCAGGTCCTGCCTCCAGAGGTTTTGATTGCTTCCAGATGAGCCGTACTCCAAGACCAGCAACTAGGAGCCGTTATTTAAGAAATTGGTAGGGCAGGGTACAACTTCTGGAAGAGAGAAGAACCAGAAGTCTTAGGAAAGATTTCTCAAACTTAAATGGCGGCGAGACTCAGGTCCCCGACTAGAGTAAGGTGACCAGTACTTCTGATTTTCCTTTTGCCTCAGGCTCCAGTAATAGTGTCAGTGCTCTATTACTGATCTGGGCTCTGTTCAAACTTTTGATATTTTGTTCATTATAGATTTTTTGCATGAACTTTATTTTTGTAAAAATAATGGCATTATTTGTCTCGGTTACTGAGGTAGTTGGTGTTTTTTTTTTGGTCTTTCTTACATCATGTGCCCAATTCTGTTGCCTTGCTCATTTCATCCAAGTCTCAACCCTA